AATTGTAAAGTTATTTTTAATTATACTAACTCTCTTAGTAAAAACATGATTTGCAGAAGCAGCTAAAATATTTTTAAAGAATTAGTATCAAATTTTTTGTGTAGTGTAGACCGGAACGTAATGACTAACTTTTCACTCTTTGTTTATTTACTCAGACATTTTTGTTTTAATTAAGTGTTTATCTCCTAGAAAAGTTACTCTGGTATATTACTTTCTCATATGTGATGAGAATGTAAAAAACCATTTCCAACAAGATAGGACCAAAAATTGAAATGTAAAAAGGGGTCACACCAGCGCAACTGTATTAAAAAAATTTCATTGATTTTCTAAAATGTTATATCTTTTATGAATATATTTTAGTTATAACATTTTAGAAAACCAATAAAATTTTTTTAACCCAGTTGACCTCGCCTGACCCAAAAACTTAAAAAAAAATTAAGTTTCTATGAAAAAATGTTGTAGAGAAAAGTTGTTTGTATTTTTCTAATCGAAAGTAATATAAAATTAAAAATATTGAAATTTAAAAAAATTGAATTTTCAAAATTTTGAAACTACTGTAGTTTGTGTAGTTTTCGACGAAAATGGCTGGCTAACGAACTCGATCTGTATTTTAACAGTAACTTTGTGCATGCAAAGTTGCAAGTTGATGCAATAAGTTTTTCAAGAGTTATCGTAGGGACACCATTGTGTCTACAGACAGACACGAAGACAGACATACAGACAGACACTTTTTCTAGACCATGTTTAACAGACTCAGGGGACCCCAAAACGTCGAGATTTCAAGAAATTAGCGAAAGTCAATTTTCGACCAAAACTAATACTTTCTCATGTGATAATAATGTAAAAATGATTAAAAACAAAAAATATATTCAAATAGTGCAATTGAAAATGAAAAAATCATATTTCGAATTTTATATCGGTTAACCAGAACTCAAAAAAAATTTGTTTAATTTAGAAATACTAAAAAATTAAATTTTTAATAACTTTAAAAAAAAAAATTTCTGAGTAATATGTAAAGCAATATTTCTAAACAATGTTGAGAGACAAAAAAAAATATTTTAATATGAAAATAAAATTTTTTAATTCATAAATATTTTTTTGAAAATTGTAAAAAATACAAAATTTTGAAAATTTCAAAATTTTGTATTTTTGTTGTTTTTTGACGAAATGGGCTGCCCAACGAACTCAGGCTTCATTTTTATGGACTAAAAAAGTGTGCCAAATTGCAAGACGATTCATAAAAATTTATTCGAGTTATCGTGGCGACAAATTTTTCTACAGACAGACGACAGACAGACAGACGGACAGACACTTTTCTAAAAACCATTTTTTTGGAATCAGGGGGTCATGAAACGTAAAGATTTAGCAAAATTAGACATTGCTCAAAATCGCACAAATCCAAGACTTTCTCATTTTTGATGAGAATGTAAAAATTTCCCAAAACTTGAAGCCCATTAATTAATATTAACACGTGCCAGTGATCGATCAAAATTTCCCATTGAAAATACATGGAAAAATGCACTTTTTAAAAAAATCATATTTTTTTTTAATTTTCATGCAAAAAATTCTCCAGGTCATATTTGTATTCATTTTTAGCTGCACTATAAGATAGCACATTGACAAAAATTCAATTTAAAAAATTTTTCAAAATGGCGGATGTTTAAAGTGGGTCATAAAAATGCACCACAATGTATCCAAGGTTTTATAACATAAATGTTGTCGGAAATTTAAAAAATTTTCTTACTCGGGGGTATTTTCGATCCTTTATCATGAATCTGATATCAGAACTTAAATTTCTTAAAATTTTTGATCCAATATGGCGGGTTCAGAATTTTGATTTTCCACATTTTTGAAGTAAATATTCTAGACCACCGTCAGGGGCGATTTTTGAAAGCGCTATTTACGAATCTAATGTTACAAATTTATTTTTCAAATTACCCGTTACAAAAACTATTATCGGGATGTTTTGGAAACTCTTTTTTAGAAATTTAACTTTTTATACCTCTGCTCTTAAAATCGATTATTTAAAGAATACATACAAAAAATTTTGAATCCGTCATATTGGATTGGGTAATTTGAAAAATAAATTTTTAACATTAGATTCTTAAAAAGCGCTTCCAAAAATGGCCCTTGACGTTGTTTTAGAATATTTACTTTAAAAATGTAGAAAATCAAAATTTTGAAACCGCCATGTTGGATCAAAAGTTTAAAAAAATTAATTGCTGATATCAGATCCATGATAAACGATCGAAAATTTTGGAAAATTAAATTTTTGTCAAAGTGCTCTCTAAGTGCAGCTAAAAATGAAGACAAATGTGACCTGGAGAATTTTTTGCATAAAAATTAAAAAAGTTATGAATTTTTTTTTAAAAGTGCATTTTTTCTATGTATTTTCAATGGGAAATTTCGATCGATTACTGGCACGTGTTAATATTAATCAATCGGCTTCAAATTTTGGGAAAATTTTTTTTTATTTTATTGGAACCAAACTGGAGGGTGGCGTAAACAAAATTGGTTTTTAGAGACCAAAAGTAAATATTTCTCTGCTTGAGTAGTAGTGGTACGGATTACATTTATTGGAACAAAAATTTTTTTTTCGCAGAAGCAAACTCTATGTTCTGCAGTATTATTTATTAAAATTTGTACTAGTGAATTTTACTACTATGATATTAAAAAACTTTCGAAAGTAAAAATTAATTTAGAATTCACTAAACTTCAGAAATGATCATATAATAAAATTGAAAATCATAAATTAATTTCTATTGTAACTGTAACAATTTTTAATAGTTGATATACTGTAATAATTACTATTAGTAATTTTTATAATAGAAATTGCAATATTTACTTCCTGAAAAGTACTTTTTCCACAGAAAAGTAAATTTAATAGAAAAATATAATTATTACTATTTCATAGGAACTTTTACTATAAACTCAGCTCCACTTTTCTACGTGTATTCATGTCATGCTGCAAGGTTACGCGATGTTTGAAATTTAATAAATTCACTGTTTTTAAAGACTTCTGTATCTTGCTAGCTTAAGTAATTATTTTAATTACCTTTCTTTACATCTGTCTAAGTTAAAGTAACAATTTTTACAGATAATGTACTCTCTATCAGAAAACAGTACTAGAAATTAAATCTTACTGACACTACTAATATTCCTTGCTTCTATACTCTAATTCGAAATAACTATAAAATGATCTCTATTACAAATGGAAGGGATTAGAAAAAGATATAAATTATGGCTTGATAATGATGAGCAAGACGTACCTCGTTCAACTTTACAAGATCATAGAAAAAGAAATCTAGAAACAGTAAGTACTTTAAAAAATTATAAGTTCTAAATGAGATATTAGAATCGGTGTGCCAGTTTCCAAAAAATTACCAAAAGTATCTTAAAATACATTGGTTTCTGAAATAAAAGATGCTTGTTTTTGCTGCGTAGGAGAATAAAAATTAATAATTATAGGGGAAAGGCTTGCAGGTTGTCATACCTAAGCTTTTTTTCTCATAACTCATTAAAAAAAAGAAAACTAATTTATATGAAGATACCATCTGAAAGAGGAACTAAAAACTACAAATTTTATTCATAGAGAATTAGTAGTAGAGCTAGGCGGGTTCTGGCCCAGTTACCGACCGTCGGCAAGGTAGATTTCCTAATAGCTCACTTTCAGATGGGTTAGAAGGGATGTTCTGTTTTACCGACCGAGTTTTTAGTACCGGCTGCCACCGCTAGATGGCGCCACTTTATTTTTTGTTCAATTTAAACCCCCTTAGAGGGGTATTAAAATTTTTATTTTTGAATTTTCAAGTGGGTTAGAAGGGATGTTCTGTTTTACCGACATCTATGTTCAGGCTGCCACCAAGAGATGGCGCCACATGTGAATTCTGACCCCCTTGGCAGGAAATTTAAATTTTTTATTTTTATACTTTCAAGAGGGTTAGAAGGGGTAATTTTAAATTTCGCGCCACTAAGTGAAAGTTGGTTGGTGTTCTACTTTACCGACCTTGATGATAATGCCACTATAAAAATGCCGGTAAATTACCGACTGATGGTAAGTTACCGACCGATGGTAAGTGTTACCATCAGTCGGTAATGCAGATTTCTTCCACAATTTTTGGTCGGGTCGGTATGTCAGGGTTCTGCATTACCGACCGATGACCCACTTGGGTTATGTTAACTTCAAGTTATCCCGGTAGTCGGCGTTTACTACATTGTGGTAGGAGAGTTGCGCGCGCCTGTGGAGTAGTGGGGAGTTGCGCAGTGGGGAGGTGAGTATAGTGGGGAATGGGGTATAAGTTACGGAGCGCGGGCCACAAACATCAGTTGCATCTTGAATGGTGCAGCAGTCTACTTCCAGGTTTTCAGGGTTCCAGAGTTTTCAGAGTTTCTTTCCAGAGTTAATTTTCAGAGTTTTTTTTTGTTTTGAATTTAGGAGTTATTGATTTTTTATTATAGGTTTTTTTTTTAATTTTTGTGTTCTAGTTTGCATTAGTTTTAAGTTGGTGGTGGTTTTTTTTCTATTTTAGGGTTTTTTTTGTTCTATTTTGTATTAGTTTTTAAGGTGGTGGTAGTGGTGGTTTTTTTTCTATTTCAGGATTTTTTTTAGTGGTTTATTTTCAGGATTTTTTTTTAGTTTGAGTTTTTCAGGATTTTTTTTAGTTTGAGTTTTTTCAGGTTTTTCTTAGTTTTAGACGTATTTTTTAAAGTTTCTTTCAGATTTAGCTATCAAGATGCCAAAGTGCAAATCGCGAAAGAAGTCTCGTCAACGTATTGACATGGAAGAGTACAATGAAATGTGTCAAGAATCTGACAAATTCATTACAACAGCGGAACGTCAGCTCATTTCAACGATGGCTATGACTGCTGAGGATAAAATGGTTACAGCATTCCAATGGCAGAACAAGTGTCAACGGTATATAAACATTTTCCGAAACTTTTTACGTGAGTCTGATTTTTCTTCATCTCAAAGATCTAGGTGTTTAAATTAAGGACAAAAAATGGAATACTTGCTCTACCATTTTGATACTCTAACGAAACGTGGTGCGGGTGTTGAAGTAGTGAATGAAGGAATTAAATGGGTGGATTTTGAAGAAGCGTTTGAGGGTCGTTTACAAAATAGTGCTGTAATGAATTTAGATTACAAGGATATTAATGAATTCCTTGATGATGCCTTTAGTTTATTTAAAGTTAACATTGAAAAAGCTTTAAACAAGTTTGGTCCGCTAAAAGTTTACACCGTATTGTTCACGAAATTTGTTAAAGATTCCATTGATGGTAAAACCCAAGAAATATCAGATTTAAAGACATTCATCGCGAAAACCGGTGACATTTTAGTTACAACCCCATTAGATGACTGGTACAATGTTTATGTTAAACAAGTAACCTTAAAAAGAATGGAGGAATTCCAAGAGAAAGATTCTAATTGGAGACTTCATTCTATTGAAAGGTTGGAGGTTAACATTAACAAGTACAATCCTATGCGCGCAAGTTCTTATATCAATTTGCCAACTTCTATCAATCGAAAGCATGCCTGCATTAATGTCCAAAATGCTGATAATCAGTGTTTTAAATGGGCAATATTGTCAGCACTGTACCCAACAGACAAACACGCAGATCGAGTTTCAAAATATAGACCCTATGAAAATACACTCAATTTTAGTGGTATCGAATTTCCTGTTTCTCTCAAAGACATTTCTAAATTTGAAACCCTAAACAACATTTCTGTCAACTTGTATGGTCTTGTTAAAAGAGATGAGAAGTTTACAGTTTCACCTCTTCATCTTTCATCTCAAAAGAAGATGAATCACGTCAATCTTCTTCGAATTGAAGATCACTATATAGATGAAAATCTAAGTGAAGACGATGATGATGAAACTGATATACCTCTCATATCGTTTAACTACCATTATGTCTGGATAAAGGACTTGTCAAGACTTGTCAGTTCAGACTTATCAAAGAAGAAGAACAAAAAATTCATTTGCGATCGTTGCCTGCATTACTTTGCAGATGAATGTAAGCTTACCGAACATGAAGAGCATTGTCGAAAAATGAATGACACAAAGATTAAATTACCCCAAAAAGGTCAAAATACAGTCGAGTTTAAAAATTTTCAAAATAAGGAACGTGTTCCCTTTATCATTAATGCCGATTGTGAAAGTCTGTTAATTCCCTCGGCAGCACCCCAAGAACCAAAAAATACTGAGGTGTTTCAAAACCATAAAACTCTCAGTATTGGTTATTACTTAAAGTGTAGTTTCGATGACTCTTTGTCTGTGTACAAAGCATCACCTAGAGAAGGAGAATCCAGCTAAATGGTTTTCTTTAGAATTAAAGAACTTGGCTGATAATCTAGATTCCATATTCAAGAACCCAGTTCCCATGGAAACATTAAGTCCACAGCAGTTGGTAGCTTTTCGAAATGATATGACTTGTCATATTTGTAAAAAGAAAATTGCGTATGGGGATGTGAAAGTACGAGATCATTGCCATCTAACAGGGAAGTACCGCGGACCCGCTCATCAAGATTGTAATATTAATTACCATGAATCGCAGATCATACCTGTTGTCTTTCATAACCTAAGTGGCTATGATGCACATTTCATTATTGAAGCTATTGGTACAGAATTTGATGGTACTGTTAATCTACTTCCTATTAACAAAGAAAAGTACATTAGTTTTACTAAAAATGTAAAAGGTGGTTTTCTAAAATTTCGTTTTATTGATTTTTTCAAGTTTATGGCATCATCTCTAGATAAGTTAGCATCCTATCTCGATGAATACAAAATCGTAAATTCCGTTTTTTCAAATTACAGCGACGATAAAATCCAATTGTTGACGCGAAAAGGAGTTTTTCCTTATGAATACATTGATTCAAGGGAAAAACTCGACGAAACAGAGTTACCGCCAAAAGATAAATTCTACAGCACATTAAACGATTCAAATGTTTCCGATGAAGACTATGCACATGCGCAGAAAGTGTGGAGTGAATTTAATTGTCAAAATCTTGGTGATTATGTATACTTGTACATGCAAACCGACATATTGTTACTCGCGGACATTTTCGAAAATTTCAGAAACCAGTGTTTAATCTCGTACGGTCTAGATCCAGCACACTATTATACTACACCGGGTTTGACTTGGGATGCAATGTTAAAGTATACGGAAGTAAGACTTGAACTCTTGACAGACATTGACATGGTAATGTTTATTGAACGAGGAATAAGAGGTGGTGTAAGTCAATGTACAAATCGATATGCAAAAGCTAACAATCATTACATGGAACAATTTGATAAAAATGAGGACACGTCTTACATCGTATACTTTGACGCAAATAATCTATACGGTTGGGCAATGGTTCAACCGCTTCCCTATGGTGGCTTCAAGTGGGTAGAGAATGTTGATAATAGTTTTGATTTCAATGTTGCAGACGATGCGCCTACAGATTACATTTTGGAAGTTGATTTGGATTATCCAGATCACCTTCACGATAAACACAGCGATTTTCCATTTTGTCCGGAACGCTCGAAGCCACCAGGGTCAAAAGAGGAGAAGCTCCTAACTACCCTCCTACCGAAACGAAAGCACGTTCTCCATTATCGTGCCTTAAAACAAGCTATTGCCAACGGTCTCGTGTTAGTTAAAATTCATCGCGTCATAAAATTCGAACAATCCACATGGTTGAAAAGTTACATAGACTTTAATACCACGCGAAGAACAAACGCTAGTAATGAATTTGAAAAAAACTTGTTTAAATTGATGAACAACGCGGTATTTGGCAAAACAATGGAGAACGTGCGAAAACATGTAGACATTAAACTTGTGACAAAGTGGGAGGGTAGATACGGAGCTGAAGCCCTAATAGCAAAGCCTAACTTCCACAGCAGAGCCATCTTTAATGAGAATTTGGTTGCTGTGGAACTTAGGAAAATGGAGGTACTAATGAACAAGCCGGTGTATGTTGGCTTGACTGTTTTGGATGTGTCAAAAACGCTTATTTATGATTTTCATTACGATTACATGTTAAACAAGTATGATGAAAATAAATTGAAATTATTGTACACCGACACCGATAGCCTGATTTATGAAATCAAGTGCTCAGACATTTACGCTGATATGAAGCAAGACATTATGAAATTCGACACTTCTGATTATCCGGTTAATAACGTGTACAATATTCCGCAAGCCAACAAAAAGATATTAGGTCTCATGAAGGATGAATGCAATGGAAAAATTGTAACAGAATTTGTTGGCTTGCGGAGCAAAATGTACAGCGTCCGTGTAGAAGGGAAAGATTTAATAAAAAAGGCTAAAGGTGTCAAAGCAGGAGTTGTTAAGAAAAATATCGACTTTGATGATTATGTTTATTGTCTTCGAAATATTAAAATGCAATCTAGAACGCAATATTCAATTAGGTCGAATCTTCACAAAGTACAAACTTTGAAACAAACGAAAATTGCACTAAGTCCTTATGACGACAAGAGATACTTGATAGAAAAAAGCACCGACACCCTCGCATGGGGTCATTGTAAAATTATTGAAATTGACGACGATGAAAATAAACTTATGTAAAAAGATTTGTTACAGAAAGGAGAAAGAAATGGTTGTTTGAATAAAAAGATGTTCAATTTATTTTATGTCTACTTTATTAGAAAAAACGTTAACCTATTTACATTAACTTATTTTAACTATATTTTAACTTATTTTAACTTATTTTAACTTTACTTTAACTTATTTTAACTTATTTTAACTAAATTTTAACTTATTTTTACTTATTTTAACTAAATTTTAACTTATTTTAACTTTACTTTAACTTATTTTAACGTTACTTTAACATTCGTTTAACATTACTTTAACTATACTTTAACGTTACTTTAACATTACTTTAACGTTACTTTAACTATATTACATATCAGATTTTTTTATCCAACTATTATGTGAGCTATCGAATCCAAGCCATTTCACGTATACATCATTACCACGAGTCTTGAGAACTTTTTCTACGAGGTAAACATCTGGATATTAGACTTTCAGCAATTCTTCTTCATAGAAACCACCTTCGATGGGTTGATTTTGGTAATCTTTCAGCTTGTATGTAACTGGTTTTGTTGATTTAACTTTTTCCACAGTGAATATTTCCGTTGTCCAGTTGGGAGTATATCCTTTTTCAAAGATATTTTTAAATTTGCTAACTCGAACTCTGTCTCCAACTTTGAATTTTGATCTTTTCAGCGGAATTCTACGTAGTTTACGAATACGTCTCAGCAGTTCTCTTGTATCTTCTACGGTGACATCTTTGGGTTTCATACCAATAGTACGATGCTTTTTATTATTGTACTTTGACATGAGAGTTGGTAAAAGATTAATCCATTTATAATTGCCTTGCAAGCTGAATTCAGGCCACATCATATTTTTTAGAGTGCGGTTAAATCTTTCAACAATTGAGGCTTTCAAATTACTATAGGTAGAATAGAGATTAATGTTAAATTCTTGCATTAAACTCTTAAATTCAGAATTGTAAAATTCTTTGCCTCTATCAGTATGCAAATTTTTTGGAATTCGACCTTGTTTGAGAATAGTTTTCATGGCCAAAGAAATATCCTTTCCATTCTTACTCTTTACAGCTACAGCCCAGGCATATTTGGAAAATATGTCTATAACTGTGAGCATGTATTTGAAACCTTTATTAGAATAAGAATAAGGTATCATTTCAACCAAATCTGCTTGCCAGGTTTCATCGATGCCACGCATTTGAACTTTTCGACGATGATAATTTCTTCTAGCTTGTTTATGCAGTTCAGTTACAACTGTTAATTTTTGATCAGCCATCACTGTTGAATAAATTTAGCCTCTTTGATGATATAATTTTGCTGTGATTCAATTTCTTTAAGTTTTTCGTTTACTCTATCCTCGATAATTCGGATATAAAGATTCAAATCATCAGTAGCTGATCTTAAAGAAGATGTAATTCGAAAAACTGTTTTTATCTCGTTTTTAATAATTTTCTGTGCAAGTCTTAAATTTACAGCGTCTCGTTGCTCTTCAGCGTCTTGAACGTTGCAAAGTCTTTTGTTATCAATGTCGTATTGTTCACTTGGAGTAATTTTAAAACCAATTCCAGAAGGTCCAGGAAGTCCACGACTTGCAAGAGGCCGTGACAAGGGATGTCCAAACACATCAATGCTCATTTTAATACTAAGCTCTATTTGCTTGTACTCTCCTAATATATAATGCGAGCTTCACGTAGTTCTTCGATGATTGACATAATTTCATTATTATGGCTTGGATTACCAGCTTGATGTGATGCTACTAGCAGACGTAAACGGTCAACTAGTTCATTGGGATCATCCAAATAGATGTAGTCTGGTTCAAATTGTTTCTTTGAAATCATAAATTGAGGTAATTTCTTTCCAAGCCTCTTCTTCTTTAAAACACCACTACCTTTTTTTGGCGTACCCTTAAAAAGTTTTGAAATGACAACAGTGTATTTAGATCTCCTGGTTACGTTGACAAGTCCACTGGAACTATAATTTTTTCGGTGTGCATTTGTAGCTACAAGAATTTCTTTATAATTTTCCAAATCATCTGAACTTATTAATGCATGATTAGGTTCTTGTCGAAATAAAAGTTCAAGCAACCCAGCAGTTTTTAAATATTTTTTCTTTCCAGCAAGTTGAATATGTGAACCTTCTAAATCAACTGGTGTATCACCAATAATAAAAGAACCATTAGGAAGCTTACGTACTCCATAAACCATGTCTAAAAAACTTTTTCTGTTTTTATTCAATAATTGAATAAATTTATTTGTCAAATTTTCATAATTAAGTTCTTCTCCTTCTTCTTCAAACTTGTTGCTCTTATCAAATAGACTGTCATTGAGTAGTGTTTTATCAAATTCCTCTTCCTCATCAACAGCAGTTGAGAAAGAAAAATCATTTTCCTCCTTTTTAACTTTTTCTTTCTTAATATTTTTGAAAGGTATGTCAGTTATGTTCACCAACTTTTCCAGAGGTGTTACTATTGGTTGAAAAGTTTCTTTCAATACTGTTTCTGCAGCCTCTTTACCCATTTTGAGTAAACGATGTTTCCGCCTAATAGCATCACTTGCTTTTGCTATTTGACGAAGCGTTTCTTGCTCTTTTCGATACATGTTTTCTTCGAGACAAGATAAACTATACTAATGAAAAATTCAATGAACTTCTTGTATTTATAGTGAAATGAAGCAATCAAATCCTCTTCTATATCTTCCTTCATTAAAATTACGGTCCTTATCAATAACAACAAATCCATATTTGTCCAATTTCCAACATTCTGAACATAAATCGCGAAATTGAGTATAACTCATATCTGTATTAACATGATTTTCGTATACATGTTTCAGATTCTTTTCATCTTGTCTAAATAGAACCAATAAATTAACATTATCTCGAACTAGATGTTTAGGAATACGAGCATACGTTTGACATAAATAGAAACTGTCAACGTTTACATGTCTGCCCATACAAAAGAAAGCTCTAACATTATCTTGCTTTTCACAAGCAATGTCATCTAAAACGAATATTGAATTTGCTTTAGCATCTTTTGGAGATACTACTTCTTTATGTTCACTAAATGAAAAATACTCAACACCATCTACCTGACTGATTACATTTTCTAAAAATTTTTTATTTCGGTTGCTGTAGAGATTTAGAGTAGAGGTAAATATTTTTAAAACTTAGACCATTTGGAAGTATTATTAGGGAAAGAAGAGCATTTGTTTTACCACAATTTGAGGGGCCACAGAAAACTGCACGAATGCTGTCTGAAAACAGACTACCGTGACGTTTAATCTTTTTTTCATTAGTTTCAACATCTATACTAGAGATTGGCAGTGCGACAGGTTGTTTCGTGAACTGCATCTTGACAGTAACTGCTCGAAAATCTATAAATACCTAGCTTTTATAGTCAATTTGTCAGTTTCACGTCAACCATTGTAGAGTGAAGTATGATTCTGCATCAGGAGGTGAAAAAAGAACGCTATCAAGGAAAAGGTTTAATTAATCGTATCATCAATAGTTTACCGTTTGAGTTACATTTACCAGGATACCAATTCTGTGGGCCTGGTACAAAGTTGGCTAAGCGTTTGTCACGAGGTGACCAAGGAATTAATCCACTGGACGCTGCATGTAAACAACACGACATTGCTTATTCGCAAAATCGTGAAAATATTCAAGCTAGAAACGAAGCAGATAAAGTATTAGCTAAGAGAGCTTGGGAACGTGTTACAGCTAAAGATTCTGGTGTAAGTGAAAGAGCAGCTGCTTTAGCTATATCCGGAACCATGAAAGCTAAATCAAAGTTAGGCATGGGAATGAGAAGAAGAAGAAAATCATCTATAAAGAAGAAAAAGAGTAAAACAATGTGTAAGAAGAAGCAAATAGCGCTAAGAAAAATTGTTGATGCTGCACGAAAAAGTATGGCTCCTGGTAATAATGCTAAAGAATCAATTCGATCAGCTATAGTTGGTGCACGAGAAGCAATAAAAAATGTTGGTGGTAAATCCAAAATTTTATCACCTAGAATTCTTCCTGTACCTACTAAAGTAGGTGGAATTTTACCGCTAGTTCCAATTTTTGCTGGACTTAGTGCTTTAGGAGCACTTGCTGGTGGTGCTTCAGGAATAGCAAGGGCTGTTAATTAGGCTAAAACAGCTAGTGAACAACTCGCAGAAGCTCAACGTCACAATAGATCCATGGAAGCCATATCACTTGGAAAGGGATTACACCTTAAACCTTATCGACAAGGACTTGGTCTCCACTTGAAACCCTACATTCAAGGAAAAGGAATTAAAAAACGAGCATCAAGAAAAAAGAGAACAACAAGAAGGAAAACAAAAAACTTGTTTTGAAGCTACCTCACCGTCCATTAACTGACTTTGATCTGTTGAAGTATGCCAAAGCTGCCAAAATACCTCATTTTCGTGGTATTTTTATGCGAAATGAACTACCTGTAAGTGGTCCTTGCAAGTATGAATCAGGAATAATTAATCTTGATAATAAAGAAGGTGCTGGAACACATTGGGTAGCATATAAAAAATTCAAAAACGAAACAATGTATTTTGATAGTTTTGGCAACCTTGCTCCACCAACAGATCTTGTCATTTACTTGGGTGATGGTAGCTTAATAAAATATAATCATAAAAGATATCAAAATTATGATGCATTTGTATGTGGACACTTGTGTCTCAAATTTTTGTGTAATCAACTAAATATTAAGAGTTGTTTTAACCTTTATAAGACTATGTAACACCTGTAAGCTTTCAGTATAAAATCTGACAGCAACATGAGTGATTCGTTTACTTTAACGTTAACAGGAAATTCTTCAGTTCTGGGAGCTGAATATTTCCCTCCAATAGAACTAAATTCAAATAAAAGTTATGTACTTGGTCTTGTTGAACTATTGACTTTTAATTCAATTCCCAATATTGATAAAGGAAATAACAAGTTTTACGTTGGAAATCAAGTAATTGATATTCCAACTGGAAGTTATGAAATTAAAGATATTGAATCATATTTACAAAATTCTGTAAAACTGGAACTGTTATTAGTATAAAACCTAATAATAATACATTACGCAGTATTGTTGAATCTAATTTACCAATTGATTTTAAACCTAAAGATTCTATTGGTAAGTTGTTGGGATTTACATCACAGAAACTATCATCTCATAGAGCACATACTTCTGATTTACCTGTAGCCATTTTAAAGGTTAATTCAGTTAGAATTGAGTGTAATATCACATCTGGAGCGTATATAAATAACCAAAAAGTTCACACTATCCATGAATTCTTCCCCAGCGTTCCACCAGGATATAAGATTGTGGAAGTGCCTGCACACGTCATTTACCTTCCGATTGTCACCAAGACAATACATAATATACAGCTGCGAATTGTTGATCAGGACGGTGATTTAATCAATTTTAGAGGAGAAACTATAACAATTCGATTGCATATAAAGTCTTTGTAATGGGAATCGTTTATAATCAAAGAGTTGTTGGTGGAAACTATAAAAGTCAGACAACATGCAAGAATCCAATCAGTCTAAATTTATCTCACAAGGTGTTAACACCTCAGAATCGCCTCTTTCTGCAAGAACTAGGTCTAAAAGTTCAAGGAAAGAAAATAAGACAACAAGACAATTAATTTACATATTTTTTGGTTGCTGTTGCAATAAAAATGGACGAACTTCTCAATATTCCAGCAGCAGTGAATTTTGATGAGTCAATAGCTCATTATGAAATTCATGCTCATCAACCATACGCATCTTCATCTTTTAACAATAGCGATGAAATTCGAATCGCAGTACAACATCAAGACTTGTGCATTTTACCTAGTAAAAGTTCATTACACATTTTTGGTAGATTAACTAAAAATGATGGAATTACTCTTACACAAAACGTACATTTAAGTAATAATGCTGTATGTTTTTTGTTTGATGAAATTCGCTATGAACTAAATGGTATTGAAATTGATCGCTGCAAATACGTTGGACATACTACAATCATGAAAAATTACACTTCGCAAACATCAAATCAGCTAAATTTTATTGAAAATGCTGGATATTCAAAAATTGCAGCTGATGCAAGACTTACTTTGGAAAATGGTTATTTTGATGTCACAATACCACTCAACATGATTTTTGGTTTTGCTGAAGATTATAAAAAAATTATTATGAACGCTAAACATGAACTTATTTTAACAAGAGCACGTTCTGACGTGAATGCCGTAATTCAAACAGGACAAGGAGGGGATGAGGAATTCAAAATTTCTATCAATAAACTTGAATGGATGGTTCCATACGTTTTACCTTCTGAAAATAACAAAGTTAAATTGTCAAAATATATTGAAAAGGATCCATTAATTTCAATAAGTTTTAGGTCGTGGGAAATGTATGAGTATCCTTTGATTCCTACAAGTTCAAAAGTTTTGTGGCAAATTAAAACATCAACGCAATTAGAGAAACCTCGTTATGTTATTGTTGGATTTCAAACAGCGAGGAAAGATAAACGAAAAAAATATGCCTGTCATTTTGACCATTGTAATATTATAAATGTTAAACTCTTTTTAAACTCACAATATTATCCTTATGGAAATTTAAATCTAAACTTTGATCAAAATCAGTACTCTCTACTTTATGAAATGTACGCTAATTTTCAATCATCCTATTATGGTAAAGATTCAAAACCTATTTTAACAAAGGATATTTTTAAAAGTCTATTTCCTCTAATTGTTATTGATTGTTCTAAGCAAAACGAGTTTTTAAAACAAGCATCAGTTGATGTGAGGTTAGAATTTGAAGCAGGAATCAACATGCCAGCCGAGACCACCGCCTATTGCCTAATCATCCATGACCGCGTCATACAATATAAGCCAATCAGCGGCGTTGTAAAGAAACTATTGTAAAGGAGTGGGGATAATGTAGTGGTGGTGGGGGTAATTACTATAAAAGCAGCTGCTCTCGGCTAGAAATTCATTTCTGCTTCAAAAATGGAGTTTATCGTAGACGTTCAAGGTTTTAAAAGAGCCAACAACGAGTTTGTCTTTAAAGAGTTGGCGATACTTCCTCTTCAACCAGATGCACAGCCTCTCGTTTACCTTTTTGAACCTCCTTGTCCTTGGAATTCACTGCCAGGACGCTACAAAAGTGAAAATCTTTGGCTAACACATAATTACCATGGAATCCATTGGACAGCTGGAGATGTCTCATACGATGAACTTCGACCAATTCTACAAGATATACTTCGAAGTGCAAGTGTAATTTACGTTAAAGGTTTAGAAAAAAAGAATTGGCTAGAAAAATATTTACTCAACGTACAAAACTTAGAAGATTTTAATTGTCCATCGTTGAAAAAAATCAAGTCTGATTTGTTAACGACGTGTACGCATCATACTTTTTGTAGTGAAAATTGTGCTGTAAAAAATGTTAAAATTCTACGCGATTGGTTTTTGGAACCACCAAACCAATATATAAGTGCTATTTCTAATGGAATTGATGAAGTTGACTCTACTTTAAAATCTTTTTATGAAAATTGTGAATCTTTTTTGTAAAATTTAGTTATTAAGTTATCAAAAATAAATGTTATTATTAATTAAAAATTTAAAACAATGCTTCTTAATTTCAAAAACAACCTATCCTTTAAAGTTTCATTAAAATATTATATAATTCCTCAAAATAAAACTTATTCTAATTCTGAAAATTAACTTATACTAAGAGAAGGAAAGTAAATTTAAAACCAATTTATAGGTAAAACTTTGTGTGTTTATTTTATCAAAATTTTTTAAAATATATATACATTTTCTTTTTACAATTTATTGTAACAATTTAAATTCGACAACATTATACGGTCCTCCAAGATACTTCATTTGAAGTTTCTTCGATATCGCAGCTTCTTTCATCATGTCCAAGGTGGTGGGTTCATCCTCAAAGAGCTTGATGAATCTTGTTGGTAAGTATGTGACGAAATCAGCATCAATTTCGACAATGATCCTAGGTCCATATTTGGTCTGGACCTTCTTCATCTTTGAGACGTAGTACAATCCATCTTTCATCAATTCCGCAAGCGGCTTCGTCGGCAGGTAACCTTCAAAACGCCCAACGGAGTTGACTTTTTCTAGATCCATTTTTTTTTTTTTTTTTTTTTTTAGCTGTAAGAAAACCTTGAACAAAAGAAGAGAAAACAAAGAACTGTAATAAAAAAATTATTAGTTTTTTAAAGTAACAAAAAAAAATATAGCTGAAAAAGAACTTAGAAAATATAGCTGTAAAAGAACTTAGAAAATATAGCTGAAAAAGAACTTAGAAAATATAGCTGTAAAAGAACTTAGAAAATATAGCTGAAAAAGAACTTAGAAAATATAGCTGTAAAAGAACTTAGAAAATATAGCTGAAAGAGAACTTAGAAAATATAGCTGTAAAAGAACTTAGAAAATATAGCTGAAAAAGAACTTAGAAATAGCTGAAAAAGAAACAAAAAAAACTTAGAAATAAACCTGAAATGTAAACAGAAAAAACCTGAAAATGAAGCTGAAAAACTTAAAAACTATACCTGAAATTTAAAACTTAGAAAGAAGCTGAAAAGAATTGTTAAAATTGATAACTTATTATACTTACTGCTAATTCTAGAACCTGAAATAAGAATGATCTTATCGCTTTGAAACTCGTCTTATATAACTGCAACACCACTTTTATCTCAATCCCCACCACATTTTCAAATGCGCACGCAAATTACCCCCACTATACACTGCGCACGTAGAAATATCCCCACTATAATATGTGCTTAAATCATGCGAGTGAAAATTAAGGGAACTAAAATAAATGCGTAAATTAAAAAAAAATATGTTCTTTATTTAAAAATTTAATATTATTTTTAAGGCTCCATACAATCTCCTTCTTCTTCTTCAAGTAGCTCCGACATCTGAAAAATAGTATTTTTAAAGTCAATTGAAAAATAAGAAAAAAATATATTTTCAAAGTTAATTTAAATGTACTCGAAATTTTCAACTTACTTCCTGAGGATCGATGTATATTATTAGAATGTTATTATCATCATCATCATCACTGATGATGATTGTTTCCCCCTGACTATCATATGCATCCTCATCCTCATTTTCATTTTCATTTTGAGCGTATTCGTCGTAAATGACAATTGTAGACTCATTATCTTCATCTTCTTCTACTTCTTCCTGAATTTGTGGAGGATTCGTAATTTTGTCTTTCATTTTTTTTCCCTTAAAGAAAAAAGAAAATAAATTTTTCTAATTAAAGAGAAATAAACCTGGAGGAAAGAAAAAATTTAGAGTGAAAGACCTGGTGAAGAGAAAGAAAAAATTTGTAGTGAAAGACCTGGTGAAGAGAAAGAAAAAATTTAGAGAGAAAGACCTGGAGGAAAGAAAGAAAAAATTTAGAGAAAAGACCTGGTGAAAAGAAAATAAACCTAGAGGAGAGAAAGAAAGACCTGGTGAAGAGAAAGAAAAAATTTAGAGTGAAAGACCTGGTGAAGAGAAAGAAAAAATTTAGAGAGAAAGACCTGGAGGAAAGAAAGAAAAAATTTAGAGAAAAGACCTGGTGAAAAGAAAATAAACCTAGAGGAGAGAAAGAAAGACCTGGTGAAGAGAAAGAAAAAATTTTGAGTAAAAGACCTGGTGAAAAGAAAATAAACCTAGAGAGAAAGACCTGGAGGAAAGAATGAAAAAATTTAGAGAGAAAGACCCGGTGAAGAGAAAGAAAAAATTTATAGAGAAAGACCTGGTGAAAAGAAAATAAACCTAGAGGAGAGAAAGAAAGACCTGGTGAAGAGAAAGAAAAAATTTGTAGTGAAAGACCTGGTGAAGAGAAAGAAAAAATTTAGAGAGAAAGACCTGGAGGAAAGAAAGAAAAAATTTAGAGAAAAGACCTGGTGAAAAGAAAATAAACCTAGAGGAGAGAAAGAAAGACCTGGTGAAGAGAAAGAAAAAATTTAGAGAGAAAGACCTGGAGGAAAGAATGAAAGAAAGAAAGACTTGGTGAACAGAAAGAAAAAATTTAGAGAGAAAGACCTGGAGGAAAGAAAGAAACAAAGACCTAGAGGAGAGAAAGATCTGGAGGAAAGAAAGACCTGGAGAAGAGAAAGAAACAAAGTCCTAGAGGAGAGAAAGACCTGGAGAAGAGAAAGAAAGAAACAAAGACCTAGTGAAGAGAAAGACCTGGAGGGAAGAGACCTGTAAGGAAGAGAAACCTACAACGATGCAATCTGAAAGTAGAATGAGTGTGGTGGCTGGCGCACTGCACTCACTCACCGTTGTGATCCCCACCACGGCGCTCTCCCACCACTGCGCTCCCCACTAGGCATTGCTAGTGGAGTGTAAGCAGCATCTCCATGCGGTAGTCTTCTTTACTAATTCAAATATGAGGAAAAATTCAAATATAATAAAAAAAAAACTTGAATATTATAATATTGATTTGAAGTTGAGAATTTACTGCATTGAAATGTAGTAATAAATACATCGGTTTACAATAATTTATTTAATAATTAGTATTGAGTTACAAATTTATTTAAATAAAAGAATTGGTTATTTTAAACAATGTTTATCCTTTGATTTTAAAACTGTATTTTATGAATTATAAGTACAATTTAAATTTTCTAAAAATTATATTTTAGTATATCATTTATTACTTACCTGTACTAAAATGTAGATTTCAAAAATAGGTATGAATTTTCTTATAAGACTTAACACCTGCTTTTGTTTTTACTGAACTTGAACTTTAAATAAATGGCTTTTTAATTAAAAGAAAAAAATTGTTTACTTTTCACATTCAATTTTCTAATTTTTAATTTATCTGATAGAAATGGTTTACATTGAAATAAATATTTCAACTGGGTATAAAGGTTTATTATTATTATTATTATTATTAAAATACTCATAACGTAGAAATATGTTTATTATTAATCATTACATTGGTCATATATTCGTTTAACGAAGATTTTTAATGGTTTAAAAAAAAAACTTTATCTAACCATTTTTAGAGATAATAATATCTCTGTACAATATTTTTGGAATTCAAGTTTAATATAAAATAAATAAAATGAACTAAAAAAAAAATGAACTAAAAAATTAACTTGTTTTTTTCCCTTAAAATAAAACATTTTATAAACATAGTAAAGAATGTAAATATTATGTAATACATATTTCTTGAACACACATAGGTGTGAAAAAATAAGATGGAAAAAAAGTTTCTTTTTCCTCTCTCGAAATAGACATTTATATAACTTCAACTTAGTTGAAAAATAAAAAAAAAGATTTTGCCTTTAAAATAGCACTTATAAATAACATAAAAAAAAACAGGGAACTAAAAATAAGAAAAGATTATTGTCCTTGAGAATAATACTTAAAATTATCAATAAACATTATATATATCTTAACAATTAAAAAACTGAAGGGTAAAAACATAAGGAACTTTCTACACCTTTTTTTCGTTATGATGACTAGACTTATGTCTTTTGTTCCCTGTAGCCACCTTTTTTGGACGTGTTGTTTTTTTAATACATGGATCATCAGGGTTAATAATGATAGTCTTTGACGTTGGAGCTCTGGACGTTGAAGCTCTGGACGTTGAAGGTTGTGTCGTTGAACTCGATCCTACATTTGAATTTGATGCCACCAAGTTTAATGTTGGAGCTCTTGACGTTGAAATTGATACATTTAAAGAATTAGATGCAAAGTTTGACATTGAACTTGATGCAGTTGATGCCGTTACGTTTGACGCTGAAGGTTTTGACGTTGAACTTGATGCAGTTAATGCAATTACGTTTGACGTTGAAGGTTTCAACGTTGAACTTGATGCAGTTGATGCAATTACGTTTGACGTTGAAGGTTTCAAAGTTGAACTTGATGCAGTTGATGCAATTACGTTTGCCGTTGAAGGTTTCAACGTTGAACTTGATGCAGTTGATGCAATTACGTTTGCCGTTGAAGGTTTCAACGTTGAATTTGATGCAGTTGATGCAATTACGTTTGACGTTGAAGGTTTCGACGTTGAACTTGATGACATTGCGTTTGATGTCTGCTGCTTTGACGTTGGAGATGAGGAGTTAGATGATGAGGAACTAGATGATGAGGAACTAGATGAGCTCGATGATGAACTTGATAAAACAATTTTTACAGGAGAAGATGAACTCTTTGGATATGAATTATTTCCAATTTTTATGTCATCCTTAGAAGTTAGAACATCCTTAGGAGTCACTGACTCCCATCGTGACTTTCGCTGCAACTCATTTTCCTTCCCCTGTAAAAACATATAATATTTAATAATTGCAAGTAAACGTACTTTGCATAAAATATAAATTTTCTTTCATAACGTTAATTAACTAAGAAAATAAATAAGTTTTATAATCTCAATTGGAAACATATTTAATAGAAATGAAAAAAAAACTATAAGACTTAATTTAATGTAAAAAAAAATATTCAAATAGAGAATAATAAATTTGAAACATCAATATATTTTGAACAAAAAAAAAAATAAAATTAATTTCACACAAAGAAAAAGGAATAAATACGTAAACTTTAGTAACATATAATTAATTAAAAACCAATAGATAAATATAATATAATTTAAACAAAAAAAATCAATAAATTTCAAAATTAATTAAAAAATAAAACCAATTTCACACGAAGAAAAATAAATATAATAATAAGTAAATTAATTAAAATAGAACTAATTTTAAATAAAGAAAAATTAATAAACTTTAAACGGATATTAATAAATTAAAAA